ATGTGCATATATCCATAGAAAACACACATATGTCCAGATAGGCCCATGACGTGACTGCCTCGAACCAGCAATGACGATGCGGCATGCGACAACGGAGCTCCTCTTGCGGGCAGTTTATTCAGGACCTTGAACAGTTGTTTCTCTCTCACTTCTGTCTCGGGGAAGACCTCTCCCAGCCCTTATATAGGCTATGGTCGCCTATCCCGGAGTGGCACGTGGACATTGCCCATAGGCTCAAGCATACGCAAGCGACACACGATCATAGCAGGTCTCCGGCCATCACCATAAAAGGAGTTGTTTATCACAGAGAGCACTCGCTTTCGGGGGCTCAAGGAGGGCGGCAGCCGTTGCCATCTTAAAGGCGTGGCCCCACGCAGCTCTCTACAGGCACATGCATATTTTTTTAAAAAAATACATTTAGGAATAACACAGAAAATATCTTTGTAGAAGTGAAGCCATTTTTATCTTTACAAAGAGGATGCTTACAGACACAAAAGGGCTCATGGATAGAGAGTTTTATAGGAATAATGATTTTTAAGGTTCAATATCACAATAGGTTAACTATAGATGATGCAATCAATTAGTTGAAGACATCAGAATAACTAGTAGAATCAAGATTGAGTGTTCTAAATATAGATAAATGACCTCTGTGCCTGGGGTTGTAGATGTGCCTGTGACCCAAAGTGATCATTACACATCTTACACTGGTACTGAAATATAACTCCATACCTCCTAAATATGCCCAAGTACTATGTATTAATACCATTGTGTTGTCCCAATGCTAAGGTTCTTGTTTTGACATGAACTCTGGCCATGATAGGATTATTATGAGGAAAACTGGATGAAGGGTACATGGGAACTGTCAATACTAATTTTGAAAACTTGTGAATCTTTAATTACTTCAACATAAAGATGCTATAAAAATCTCTGCGGATCATAGTTATTTCCTCAGATCTAATTTTAGGCTTTCCTAGTGATGCGGGCAGGTGATTTTGTCATAGCCTCAGGGCCTTTCTAATGTACTTTACCTCATTTGGATGCTCTATGAACTCCATGCACAGATACTAAGTGAGTCTGCTAATCCAGGCTTATTAATTTTTAAACTATTAACACACTTAAACACATAATGAATCTGCCACAGTCATAAATATTACAAAATATTTGTGCATGTTTATATATAGCGATCCTACTCTCTGCGTGGTGCCATGATACAAATTAGCTTTCGAGCATCCTCCCAGGTTCTGAGTCCATGTGTAGTACAGAGATTTTTGGCTAAGAAAGGTGCTGCTTTCTTGCTAAGAAACAACTAATTGCTTTTCCTTATACTTAGAAAGGAAACATGACCCGTACAGTGCCTCGGGGACTAACAGAGTTTGCCTAGTGTTGATGCTTGCAGTCTTATTATGTCCGTGTCTATTTTTCTTTCTGCTTTTTTTTTAAGGACACACTCAGCACCCTCTTGCCCAGGAGACTATAGGCTGCTGTTCTCTTTGCTCAAGGAGGATAGCATAGCACAGCTCAGCTCCAAATAATGCATCAAGACAGAACCATCAGTTTTATGTAGAAAATTTGAATTAATATCAAAATATAAATTAGTTTCGGTATTCTTAGAGCCTATTCAAGCATCCTTTGATATGCACATTGATGTGTGCACCTATGATCTTGCTAGAAAGATTGTTCCCAGGACATCGGGAATGAGCCATGCTTGGGAGAAAATAGAGGCATTATCATTTTGGAGAGCAGAAGTGGGCTTTGATGTAGTGAAGCAATTGTGGATGGGTAGTCCCCTTCTCTACCTATTCTATGCATATGAAGATGTAAAATATGTTCCCCTTGCTTCTGGACCTGAGATTGAAGGCTTTAAGTATTACTGTTCACTTTGTGTTTTAAAAAAGTTTTATTATGTTTTAATATGTTTTTAACTGAAATAGAATCACATCCTTTTTTCTCTCTTTTGCCTGTACCTAGTCCTTCCCAGTTACCCTCTTTTCAACCCTTCCCATGCTCTCCAACTCTCAAGCTGATATGCTGATGATGGAATTATGACTTTAATGATATGATTTAGTGGTGTGGGCTATAGAACTCAAATGAAATGATTACTGAATTTTTGTTGTGACTTTCCCTTTTTTTCACACAACATTTTGAAAGCCTTAAGAAACATACAAAATATGCCAAAACAAAGACAATGAGGAAAACCAAAGGGATATGAACATGAATTGAAGCTCGAGGGTTAAACAGATTGGTGTTGCACCTGCAAAAAGGCGGAAAAATAATTGGCTGTAACTTCTCCCAAGTCCAGTATTGAAGGGAAACTGGATCAGCTACACATTTTCTTTATTTTTAACATAAATCAAAGCCAGTGTGTTTCAATTCATGCATGCTTCTAATAGAGGAAAGAGCAGGAATATCTGAAAAAAGATAATGATAACAACACTAATAAAGATAATGATAAATTAAGTGGTATATGATCTCATCCTTGTAGTGATGTTTAACCTCTTTTCTGCTAATAAAGGGAAATGCTAACTCCAAGATTCAACTCCATGGCTGTGGGGGTGAGGATAGGAAGTGGAGGTTATGAATGATAACTTAAAAATGTATTCATATGTACCTTTAAGATAATCACATACATATCTTCCTTCTTAGTCACTTCATTTTTCTCCCTGTATTAACTGGAGTCTGTCCCCAGGACGAAAGGAAGCAGAACCAGTAAATATCATCTATTTCTGTCTTGCTGGCCAGTCGTATTTTGGGCATCTGACTCAGTACAGTGCGAGCTGGGTGTCCAGGCTTTTCCTTAGGTTAGACAGACTTTCAGTGTGGCAGCTGTCTTGGCTAGTAATTCAAGGACCTGGGTAAGAGCAGGTCTGAGAAGGTGGAGATGTTGAACTTCTGTGACCGGGGCAGCTCTGAGAGGTCAGCTTCTCTTTAGGTCCCCTGAAGAGACCCTTTCTCGGAAATTAACGTCAGCCTTAAGCAAAAGTGACTCATGCTAGTTAGAATCCACTCCTTGCTGATTTCTGAGAAAGACCTTAGTCTGTCCCAGCATTCTTCCTCATCAGATAAAGTGCTCAGAACAATGAATGGCTGAGATGGGGCTGTCACGATGAGGTCATAAAATTCATTCCGTCTACTTCGGAGACATGTTACTGTTAAGGAAAATGAGGCAGAGACCCAGATATATTTCCAATTCTGTGAAGCTCTGAATCCGGCGATAAGAATAAATAGGAACCCAAAGGGCAGTCCGATGTGAGGTAGGAGGTGACCCCCAAAGAATAATCCCAGGGGCTCAGATACAAGAAACACAGTGGAATTTTAGGAAAGACCTCATTTAAAAGCCATTTTTGTTGAGTGCTATAGCATTTGCATATGTTTAAAGGATTCAACAGATACTCAGATTCTGGTGATGAGATGAATTACTAGGATAGGTAATGACCCCAGAAGGAAAAACTGGATGTGATGAAGTGGAGATGTCTAGAAAGGGTGTGTGACATAAGACGGCACAGAGGTGTGCCTGATGTCGAAGGTGACTGAGTTTGGGTGAAGGCTAACAGCCTGGAACATTGCCCAAACTCCTAACTTATTGCAAAAAAAAATTGTAATTTGAAAGTCTAAAAATGAGCTCAAGAGCACATATAAACCCTTGGGAAATAAGTGTATATAAAACTTGAATAAGAGTGAAGTTGAGGTTCTGGAAAGATGGCTCAGTTGTTAAAGATGCTTACTGCTCTTGCAGAGGACTCGATTCCAGTCCCGGCACTGAGACAAAGAGGCTCAGAATCAGTAACTTGAACTCAATTTCCTCTTCTGGCCTCTTTGGGCACCTGTATTTATGTGCACATACCCACCCCAGACACACAGATACGTATAATTTAAAAATGCAAAGACTTTTAACATAAAATGAGAAAGATCGATCATTATAGTAATATTGATATAGTATTGTGATATTTCTTATATACTGTGATGAGATTTGGCATGAAGTCAGTATTACCAAGGTCTGTCTTTCCAGTGCCCCCTACCATTTGTAGGTACAGCCCCTACATCTAAGGGACATCTCATCACAGCATTGACACACTAAAGAAAGGACAGTTGTGGAGGGTTTACTGAAAAAAGAATGAACCTGGATGATGAGGATTAGAGAATGTGGACAAGGCAAGGTGAAGCCCCAAGAACAATCCTGGCAATGCCTAAAAGCTGAGGCTAGAGCTGGTGAAGAAGACCAGTAAGAGCCTGTGGCTTTTGTAGAGGAATGTGTCGAACCAACCTGTAACCCGGGAGTAAAGCCATTCCAATCATTCTCCAAACGCTCACTGTTCATCTCTTACTGGAAACACCCACCATGTAAATGTCTCCGACCAGGGCAGGAGGTCCCGCATGCAGCTTCTTGGAGCTCAGAGCAAAGCAGAGAATAGTGGAAAATGACTTTATAGAGGAGAGCAGACTAAATCCGGCCCAGACATGAAAGGACAGACTGTATTCCCTCACAGGGTCTTGGAAGGTCCCACTTTATTTACCTTGATGAGCATGCCTTTGTGAGGTGAATTTAGGATATCTGCCCAATATGAAATACACTAGGCCTTCCACCATTCTCCAACGAATTTAACCTTCACCCCAAACAATCCTATCCTGTAAACAGAAATGCCAGCCAGGCAGAGGTGGTGCACGCCTTTGATCCCAGGAGGGGAAGGTAGGCAAATCTCTGTGAGATTGAGGGCCACCTGGTCTACAAGAGATTGTTTCAGGGAAGCTAGGGCTGTTACACAGAGAAATTCTGTCTTAAAAAACAAAAACAAAACAAACAAACAAACAAACAAAAAGGAATGTCATCGTTTCCTCAGATTTGGGAACAGGTGTCTGCACAGTATCAATGGTTAGTTGAAAAGGAGCAGATGCCCGTATTACTTGTTAAGACTCTGTAAATTTATTTGCTGCTTTCTCTCAAACATGCCGTTTGCACATCAAAACCTTCAAAAATTCCACGCTGCAAGCGGTTGGGAGTAAGATTCACCTTTATTAGTTATGGGATAGCTGTAAGTCAACCACCCGCCAGAGAAATACAGCCAGGTGCTTGTGTCTGACTTCACAGGAAGAGGCTGGATACCGGCAAGGTTATTCTCTGTCCCGAAGATGCTTTCTAGGAGAACAAAGGGAAGGGAAGAGAGTTATAAAAGCTCTCAGAAAGTGTCAGTCATCTTCAAGGCTTCTAGCTGGGTTCCAGCAAAAGAGCTAGACCGTTAAAAAACAAAAAAACCTTACCTTGGAGAAAGGCAGCTAGTCGGGATTAAATACCAATCAATTAAGGGTGATGTCTCATACATGGATTCTGTTTTTCAAGAAATGTTATAAAATTGTCTTCAAAGTGAAGAAACTTCCTAGCTTGCCAGGCTAACTGGAACGAAAGCCATCGTGTTGGCTCCCATTCCCTCTACTTCCAGCGTCCTTCTCCGGTCTGCAGCTGGTATCCTCTCCATGTGGGCAGCGAGCCAGGAGAGTAGGGCACAGGACAGAGACATAAAGAGTCACATATGAAAGAAAGCAGTCTGCAGAGGAACACTGAAAACCCATTCCCACCAAGGTGTCATGTAAAATAGCATGTTCCAAAAAAGCCGCGAGCGTACTGAACGTGGGCGACGGCAGGTGATGTGCGAATGACCCCATAAAGGGTCCTGATGCTGGGGGAGAACAGGGCATTACAGGTTTGGACCTGTGCAGTTCACTACCCCACTTCCAACCTGAGAGTGTTGTTCTCTTGCTTAATGATCTGTCTCTATTTCTGTCAACACTCATGTGTCCCTGGTCCAGTTCTTCTTTGTTGGAGGCAAGAACCCAGAAACCTCGGCATGTGCCCACCCTCTGGACACATTTTCACATCTATGAAACCTACCTGGGAGAAGGCACAGACTCCAGGACCTGGGAAATACAGCCACTGTTGTATTCCACATACAGGTGGTCTCACAAAAGTGCTCCCCTTCCCCTCCTTACAGAGCAGAGGCTCTAGTGACCCTTGACCTCTGCAGAAAGCGATGCAGACAGTGCACTGTGGCATTCAGGTCTGCTGAGGCAAGAGAGGGCAACATTCTAAGGGAGGAGTGTGGAGTATGATGTGCTACCAAAACTTTGCAAACCTTGAGGATGATAAAGATGTCATTCTTTTTCCTGCTTGCCACTCTGATTTAAGAGTCAGGCAGTTACTTGCAGGAACTGAGACATGTATCCCCCTTCGGTCTTCCAGACTTGCAGTTAGCTGGGGTGAGAGAAAAGAGATGACTGTACAAAGTGCCTTCTGACCTGGGCTGCATTGCTGAGAAGCAACCATGCAGGGTCAGGGGAAGGTGGTACTGTCCATGCGGGTGCGATAAGATAGACTTGTGAGCACCAGCCCATCTCATCTAGTACTGAACAGAACCAGCCCAGGTTTTTCATTTGTTTATCAAAATTAATATTTAAGATATATTGACATCCGGATTTCCTTTAACAACACTGAGATGCCCTGAAATCACAGAACTCTGCTTAAGTAGGAAAAGGTGCTTCGTGTGTACAGTTCAATGTGTTGACTGAACTGACGGCAAAGCCAGATTTTAAAATCTCCCCGCAGTGCACCCATCTTGGCTGACAGGTTGGTATTTGTGTAGAACATCTGTCAAAATTAGCAGAGCAGAGGATCAGGGACTTGGGGGCTCATCCCCAGAGTCAATTCTTCCCAAGGGATTTGAACATGATTCAGAGGACTTTTGGAAGCCTGTGAAGAATCACCAGAATGGTGACCACACACTTCCCATCTGGAATATGTCCATCCATGCAAAAAGGCAGAATGGGGCATGATGCATGCCAGAACTTTACTTGTGGTTTAAATAAAAATATCATGCATGATGCTATTTATAACAACCAGGAAGGAAAACTTAATTTTGTATAACCTTCTTTCTCGAGTTCTTCCAGATTGGATGTGATCAAATGAAGCCACCTTCTTTCAAAAGGGAACTTCAAAGGGATGTGTCTAGTGTACAAGCCTGCTAGCTTTCTGCTCGTATCCACAGTAGGAGGGCTAGGTATGAATCTCATTAGCAGAAGAGCCCTTAGAAATCTCTGGTCCTGCTTCAAACCAAGAGCTACAAACATTTTCCAACAGGGACTTAATAGCAAAAATGACATTAGGTGAGTCTGAGCCTCGAAAAGATGTAGCAGTGACTTCTGAATTACGGCTGAGGCAAAATCCTCTGAGCGTTCTGCTTCCTGCAGAGGTTAGATCTAGCTGAAAATGGACACCTGACAGGAAGCCTTTCCGTGTTGTCTCTCTCCTTCATCCCACTCCTGCTGACAATTCTGACTGACAAGGACAGCACTCTTTTGCTATTAGTGTTTTAACTATCTGGAGGTTTGATTCAAGGCTCTACCCCACATGTGTTCCCTGCTGGCGGAGCTCCCTCTCTCTCAGAGAAGCAGAAAACATTCATCAATAGGTTAGCAGGGTTTCTGCGAGAGCCTGCATCTGCAGTGAGAGACTGGAAACCCCTAGCAGCCAGGACTCACAGAAAAATTCCCAGGCTGCTGTGTGGCTGAGAAAGACCAAGAAAAATGGAATGCTGCAGGCTTTTCCTCAACACCCTTCTCACCTTTCCTGCTTCCGCTACAACACTGAGGGAAACTGGGCTGGGAGGATGGAGCAACATCCCTGATTGAGAACCTTTCATGGTTTTGGCAGGTCTAACAGTCTCTTCTGATTGGTCATTACGCTCTTTATTTGTATACTTATACCCACCCAATCAGGGACCACCTGAGCTGTTATAGACCCAGGTTTTAGCAGTTCAGTTCTTAGTAAGCTCTTGACTCTGCTCAGACCCTGGAAAGCTGAAAGATTCCAAAGTAGGACTCATGAGACCACAGGAAAGGAAAGATTGTGCCTGTTGCTTCAAGACTCATTGAGGAAAGGATCTTCAAAGACTTGCCTTTGAAATTTGCCAGTCAGCCGCCTCCAACACCTACCTTCATGACTTACTAGAGAGGTTCCTCCAAGACCTGCTTTTGAAATTCACTGCCCCTGATACTCTCACTGATGACCTACTCCCCTTTGACTTATGTTTCAAAGAAAAGCTCTCAGTAGGCATCCTGAATGCCTGCCAAGAGCTTAGAGTGTAGCTTAACTGGGAACCCAACCTCTCTCCAAGTCCCTGGCTTGGCATGCCTAGGCACTTGCCAGTTCAGAGATGCAATACTTGCAACCTTTCCATTGGCACCTCTGTGTCACCCAGGGTTCAGAAGCTCTGTTCTTTTTTCTGCATTGTCATGCCTAAGCAGTAATTTTCCATTTTCTTTCCTGAGCTTTCTTCATTTGAATTATTACTTCTGCATTACAAGAAAAGTTTCCTTTGGTTTTTTTCAATTTATCTGCTTACTCCATTTTTTTTGGAGGGAAGGCAAGACAGGGACTGGATTGAAGATCCACCCTCATCTAACAGCTGTAGCAGGACTCAGGATTGGCCATAATCATTTGTGGAATTCCAGTGATTAGGTGCCCTGGTGTATGGGAACCCCACTTCCTTACCTATACGCTGAACAAGGTTGAATCTTCTAAGCTTCATCACAAATCCACCAGTTCATGTTCATGGTGGTGGTAAGTGGTTTCCTCTTCTGGAATGAAGGAAATCATTGCTTGAGTCCCTCTAGGTCTGCCCATCAGTGGGTAGTTAAGTTAGTCCCTTATGTTTCCTGAGAAAGACCAGCTTCAACTGTGCAGTGTGCTGTGGAGAAATGGAGGGTGTAGCAGTTTGAATGAGAATGAGCCCTAGAGGCTCGTATATTTCAACACTTGTTCCACAGTTGGTGGAACTGTTTGGGAAGGGACAAGAATTCTGCCACTGTGGGTGGGCAGTGAGATTTTAGGTCCTGGGCCTTCCCAGGGAGCTTCCTCCCCTCTCCCTTTGCCTTGTGTTTTTTGTCTAGGCACATCAACTCTCAGCACTGCTCCAGAACTATGTTTGCTTGCCTGCCGCCATGTTCCCTGCCATGATAGAAATGGAATCCACTACTTTCTGGAACCATGAGCCCCAAATAAAATGTTTTCTTCTATAACCTGATTTGCTCATGGTGTCTATTCACAGCAATATAAAATATTCCAGCAAATACAGGAATGTGGTAAAATGATTTTAACAAGTGAGACTAAAAGTAACACTACAGCAATACTGGAGTTTGTAAGATTGGAAATTCTTCTGCCCATAGTAATGCTGGTAAGAATGACTTCTGGTTTAGACATTGTGTATTATGGTCTCTAAATCAAGACATGCCATGCTGGAGGGAAGCTCATTAAGACTTGGGAAGGTTAAAAAAAAATAAGCTACGGAAATAAACAACTTGCAAGTCTCAGGAAGTTCCTGAAACACAAGATTCATAAGCACTCTCCACCCATACACACTCCTGAAAGCTACATAAGCTGTAAAGAATGATGAGAAAAGGAGACTTCCAATCTTCCTAACCCCTTCCAAGTAATGTGGAGGGCTTCAGGGATGTAGCCATCATCAGCTGTCACTCATACTGCTGTGGGCTCCTCAGAGATACAATTACTTCTGAGTCAGTCACATCCCTGCAAATAACACCTTAGCCATATCTCTGAAAGCAGCTCCAGGAAAGTCATGGGGCTTTGGTGGGATTATTTCCCTCTTTTGTCATCAGCATTTTGTCTGTCATAAATAGACATTTGTGTCTATCACCCCGCAGTCACGCAACACACATCTACCAAGGCCTATCTCTGGAGTTAATCCTGGGGCTAAAAAAAACATGTGTTTATAACAGATGAGAATAAAAAATTATAGTGAGAATATGATAGATCTTTTTTTGGACTGTTTTCATTTAAAAATGAGTATCATGAGGCAAAGAAAAAATAGTTCAGAAAAAGATTATAGAGAGGAAGGATCTGGAAAAATGTTTTTAGATACTTAAACCAAACTTTGTAAGGTCTTTCATCATCCAGACCTGTATCATCTGTGAAGCTGCATATGCTGGTGTGTATGTATATATCTGTTTGTACATGTGTACGTGCACACATTGTTTCAGTAAAATTTCCCAGCTCTGCAGACATGCTCACACATTGACAGTAAGGGTATTAACATCTGTCATCCCTTCACACCAAGAGCAATAGAACACGTTGAAATAAAAAGAAAATGAAGCTTTCAATCAACTCTGGGTAAAGGGTAGATGCCAAATAACTATATTTCTAAAATTGGAAACAGTATGTCTTCCAAGTGAAAGCTGAAAGGCTCACTCGCTCATAAATACAGGGATGCAGCTGGAACCAAGGGGCTCCTTAGTGGTAAGTGCCTTTCAGAAAAGTGTCTGCTAGACCCTGGGCTAATTTAGCTTATTGCACCCTACATGGGTCTCAGTATAGGTCCAGTCTTGGGGTAGAAATTGAAATGAAAACAGGAGGCTATACACGACGACTGTACAGAAGGTCTAGAAGCTGGAATTCACCTTTGGATACTAATAAAGATTGTATCTAAAATAATTTGAAATTTGGATTCTCCCCTTCTGCATCTTTGTAGAGCATGATCTGTGAGCCTTGGGCTTCAAGGACTTCAAACAATTAGAAAATACCTTTGAGGAATTAATCTGTGTACTTGGTTTTACTGTGTCTGGTTTTGTTTTCCTTTGCCAATTCATATAGTCTGTTTTCTCTGTGCTCCGTTAGCTCAGATAAATGGCCGGATAAAAAGCAGAAGCTACAGGCAGCAGGGATAGTGGTTGCCATACAAGAATTCATGGAGAGCCTGAGGTTTGGAGGGAAGGAAGGTAAAGGGTACAGGAGAAATAGTAGCAGAGGTAGAGAGACTTAGAGCAAGAGGACGGACAATGGGGCTGCTTTCCTCAAAGACCTGGGTTAGAGCAGACAGGAGGAGTAACAGTCAATTATCCTGAAGCATCCTACTGAGGAGCCAAGAGCCCAGACATGTGTGTTCCATTATGTCTAGGCAGCTACCCCACAGCTGATGTTAATCAAGTGTTTGAGAAAATAGGGGACAGCTTGACTGTAAACCAGGTGCGTCTAGAACCAAACTCTGAATGCCTTTATCACCTCACGAGTGTGCTTAATGCCAGGACACATAGTTGAGCCCTAAGGATTATGGTGATCACACGTTTGCAGTATGGCTGTGGTGAGAGACTGAGTAAAAACGGAGCTAGCATCTATAGAGTAGAAAGGTATACGCTTTTGTTGTTCTTGGTTTTGTTCTGCGTGCCTGAGTTCGAGGGCAGGAATTCTTACTTCCTCTGTTTGATAGTCAATATTTCCCAAAGAAGATGTTGGTTATTACTGTCTATATGAAGCTGCTATAAGAAATGTTCCTGCCCACCCCCAGCTGTAGAGGTATTCTCCACAGGAGGTCCAAGAATACTGGGGAGTTATGGGAGCTCTATTCTAGTAAATGAGGCAGTGCCTTCCCTTCCTGTGTTTGTTTACTTTTGGTTAGGACTACACATCCTAAGGGAATAATAAATCCCCTACCCTCCCTATCCTGCTGCAGGAGGCAAAACAATGGTTTAGTAACCTTGCACTCCACTTGGTGCCAATCATGTACCAATAGCACCTATGTGAAAAATGGGCAGATTGAAATCTTGATAACTGAATAATGCTTTTCCCTGCCGTTCTGGCACAACCCACACTCATTTACCTCTCTATCATCTATCTGTCTGTCTATCCACCCATCTGTTCATTGTCTCCTTGAGTCTAATTTATATTGCTTACTATAATGATTGCCTGTTATATTTATTTTACAGCAAACTTCTTATTTCTTTTCAATAAAATTATTAGAAATAACTTCCAAATAAGAAAATATTACATAGTGAGATTTTTCTAGACGCAAAGTCTCGTCATCTTGATGAACTTCTGGACCAGTAGAGCAGCTGTTCTGAGGCTGTGGAGTTTCAGACTGGGTCTTACACCTTTGCTGTCAAATTATATTTACATGCATTTATTTATTACAAAAATAAGAAAATTAATGGCAGAGTTAAAATAATAAGAACAGTTAGATTTATATTTTGTGGTGATATTTTGCTTATGATATAACAAATATAGCTTGCCTGAGGATCAGAACATAGAGCTAGGCACACTAGGTAACCATAGAGGCCAGGCAGTGGTGGCACATACCTTTAATACCAGCACCTGGGAGACAAAGGCAGAGAGATCTCTGTGAGTTCAAGGTCACCCTGGGCTACATGGAACTGATCCACTCTAAAAGAGAAATAATTTACACACAAAGGTGATCCAGCACTTGGGATCACGAGCCTTTAATCCCAACACTAGGGAGGTGGAGACAGCGGTGATATGGCTGGGCAGACAAGAATATAAGGCTAGAGGAGACAAGAGCTAGGCAGTCTTGAGCAATCAGTCTAACCTGTCTGAGGATGCAGTCTGAGGACAGCATCCTCCCTTTGCTATGAGCATTGGTAGAGGTAAGATTGTAGCAGCAATAGATACAGGTGCAAATATCTCTTATAGGGCAGGGAGTTCTCTAGAGTAAAATAGCCAGGTGGTAGTTCTAGTTTCAATTTTTTGAAGAATTTCTAAACTGATACCTATTGATATTAATTTGCACCACAACCACCAACAAATAAGGGTTCCTTTTTCTCCACAACCTCTCCAACATTTGCTGTCAGATTTCTTGATGATAACCATGCAGAATTGGCTGAGGTGCTTCCCCAAAGTAGCTTTATTCTATTTTTACTTTGCCAGTTTTCTTTCCTTTTGGCCTTTTCTTACCATTTTAATGATATATTATGATCATGTTTTCCCATCCCCAACACTGCCCAGATTGTCCCCATCTCCCTACCTACTCAACTCCATGTCCTTACTCTCTCTCTTTTTAAAAAACAGTCAGTTATTTGAAGTTCCCCAGTGCTCCAGGTATTTCTCATTCCCTTGGGAGAATAAAGATTTGTATCATGCATTTGTAGAGCAGGCTTTTCCACTGAGAATTAGAGGTGGAATGGTTAACAAGGCTCTGCTCAAATTTTCATTCGTTTTGAATTAAGAAATTTGAATAAAAATGAATCATTATTAAATTACAGATGATAGAAAAATAGCACATGACCCTCTCGTGAATTAATAAGGACACACATTTAGGAGACTAACAAAGTCAAAATAGTAAATTTACAATTCAGTGGTTATGAAACATATCTGACTGTTACCCACTTTATTTCATTCCTTTTGTGTGTCTGATATTTATTTGTCTTAACCAGTAAAGTCTGGTGAGACTGTGACATACGTAAGAAAAATGTAACAATAAAATCTTCCAAAGAGAATATGAGTAACTTTTGAAGTCCTTAATAATGTGTCTCTCTGGGAAATTACAATTCAAATATTTTAGGGTAGAAGAAGATTATTTCCAGCAAGTTTCATGTGGGGCCAATAAATACTCCACACTCCCTACATCATCTCAACTATTTATATGGGCGATTTAAGGTTTTCATACTCTAGAGAGTTATCTTGCTATAGCAGAAGGCAGCTGGAAGTTATAGGCCAACAATGCTCTTAGATATGACGATAGGCATTTATTATTGCACTTGCCACTTGCCCAGTATTGCTGAGTGCCTAATCTATTCCAGTGTGGATGACGTGACTTTGTAGAGAAAGAGGTACACAATACAGAAGCTCTCAGGAGGCAAGCAGTTACCACGTTTTCTCAGGATGGCTCTAGAAAGGGAAGCAAAGGTGGCTAAACTTTCCAAGTAAAGAAAATATGCCATGCCATGAATGTATGTGTGAGAGAACACAGAGAGACTCACACTGTGGTATCCAGACTCTAAAACGGCCCTCAGTGATTTTCAGTGAAATCATTCGCTTGTGAAGTAGCCTTTAACGGGGAAGCACGATTAGTTTATGTCACTCATAGACTATTGTGGAAGTGCTGATGTGTTATTGACAAGCTTCAGCAGAGAGTAAGATTCTGTCTCTACTTTGGTGTTATGGATTACTTTCTGAACAGGAAGTCAGTAACCATGTGATGGTGATGAGGAAACCGGGAAGAGGCCCACAAGAAGAAATTAAGAATTATCATCACTATCCACTAACACCTTGCCAGGCATGAGAGGGGAACATGAGGTTCAGTTGTCTAGTTCAAATCGAAGCTTAAATGACTGCAGGCCAAATTCACCACTTACTGCAGTCTTGAGAGAGATTCAGCCAGAATTCTGGAGCCATGACACTCCTGGGCAATACATAAACAATAAGGTGCTAGACTCTTATTTTAACATGAAATTTTAGAATTATTTGTTACACAGATGTGTAAAGAGCTAGTATACATTATTTTAGTCTTTCAAACCCAGTGGCATTTCTGTACCCTTCCTTCCCACTAGCGGACCCAACAACCTACTCAAGTCAACTGTTGGACTAATTTGATGTTGTTTCTTGATTATTTCAGGATAGACACTGTGCTTTAGGTCTATTAGATTGGATGAGATTAGCATTGGAGAGAATAAACGGGATAAAGTGCCATTCTCTGGGTGGAAGAGTATTAGATAATCTCTCGGCAAAGAGGACAAAACTTAAGGTAGAGGAAGGGAGGACCCTGCATGGCCTCCTCTCCTCTATGTAGCAACTCCCAATACACAGATAATGAACAAGGACTTGTCTATGATATTAAAGAATGATGAGCTGATAATTTTTATTGGTGGCCACCTTTGACCCTTTCCATTAGAATTCTAGAGACATGTCTCCACCAGGAGGATTATTGTATGCAGGTGATTTTGTACAAGTCTGGTCCAGGACATCAATTAAAGCCACAAAGGAAGCTGGAAAGAGGAGCGGCAATCCTCACAGAACCCTCCCAGGACCTCTGGCTCTTACACTTTGGATTACAGGCTTGAACTCCTGTCACATGCTGACTGAGCTCAATTATAATTTATGGATCATTTTGGTTGTCATAGGATATTATGATAACTGAATGGCTTGGCCTTATTACAGCACCCGAATTCATCCATCTCGAAAAAATGGACAGTCAGACACTAAGTGCCTGTTGGAAAAGCCATTCCCAAGCTGTTCAGGTGAATGCTGGTTTCTGATTACTCCCAGATGGCATCTCTGGGGTGACATTACAATTTCTGTTCTCCATTTAGAGGAATGATTACAAGACACCCCATTATAGAATTTGCATATTTTAACCCAGTTTGTTTCAACATTTTCTAACTTTATTGTGAGATTCAGATTTTTTGTCTTTTTATTTTACTTTCTTACAATAATTATTCTCCCGTCAATTTTGCCTTTCTTAAAAGTATTTGCAAGCGCATCATTTGGTTAAGTCAGTAACCTCCTTGGTTTGCAAGCATGAGGACCCGAGTTTGAACCTGCTGCATGCAAGTAGAAAACCATGCAGGATAATATGCATTAGGAACCCAACTCAAGCATATCCTTGGAATTTTCTGGCTAGCCAGTTTAGCAGAATTGGTGAGATTCGGGTGCAGTGAGAGAACTTGTCTCAAAAAATATGGTTAGGTACCAGTTTAGTTTTCCTGTGTTCAGTGAGCCATGCTGCTGCCTACGATCTGCCTTATTTTTTGAGATAAGCTCTCTCACTGACCTTGAATACCACCGAATCTGCTCAAGGTGACTGTCTAGAGTCAGTCTATGACATTTATCCATTTATCTATGTCCATTTATCTATGGACACTGACTAGTGTCCATAGATAAATTCTCTCACTGACCCTGAATGCCGCCGAATCTGCTCAAGGCGGCCATAGAAAGCCTTCCCCCTACTGACTAGTGTCCACAGTACTGGAAGATCCTCTGCTTGCTAACAAAGGAGAAAGGTGAACAGCAACCCGCTACTCACCCTTTGATCTGCAGTGGTGATCCGCCTGCACTGGTATAATAAGTGGCACAGAAGTTGTAGAATAACCAACCAAAATCTGATTGGATTTAAGGCTCTCTCCACGAGAAGGAACCCATGGACAAAACTGCTCAGACCTGAAAGTAGATAGGCCATGGGTCTAGGGATAAGTCAATCACTACTGTTCTGCCAAAGGAACACAGTGATGAAATGACTGCTAATGACCTTCTGTTAAACTTATTGATTAATGTCTTGTTCAGCATGGGAACAAATACAGAAGCTCACAACTGGATAATGTACACAGAGCGAGAAACTTTGGAACCCTCAGTTCTAAACAGGATGGCTTCATCAAATCACTCTCCTCGGGGCACAGAGAACTCTGAGAAGTAGGCAGACAGACTGTAGCATCTGTGGAATGGAGGACACCAGGGAAACAAGGCCTTGTAGACTCAGCTGGACTGACACACACATGAACTCACAGAGATGGTGATAGCACACACAGGGCCTGCATAGGTCTAAGCCAAACGAGATCCCAGTGCTGAGGGGGGGGGTAGATAAGAGCTCCCTGAGATCCCAGTGCTGAGGGTGGAGTAGATAAGAGCTCCCATCCCGAACTCAGAAGCCACCTCCAGCAGACAGCCACTCACAAAGGCATGGTTAGTTTTCTGCTATGGTGTCTCACTGGGTACACAAACCACACTCAAGGGCAGGACCCTGGCGCAGCAGTAGATGATAACACAAAACAAAGTTGCTACAATTTTTGCAGGATTCCTGTCTCAGAATGCCTTGGCTGGGCACTGTTTTCTCCTTACAGGTCTTTTGCTTATATGTCAATAGCTGGATAAACCCCCCAAAATAGAAGAATTTCTAATAGTATACCATATACCAAAATTAAACCCAGAAGACATAAATAGCTTAAATAGGACCATTAGAAGTAATGAAATCAAAACTGTAATCAAAAGCTTTGCCTCATGGGAAAGCCCAGAAGGAGACAGAGTGCTGAATTCTATCAAAATTTCAGGAAAGATCTCATTCAATTTTTCTTAACTTCTATAAATCACAGAGTGAGGGAACATTCTTCAATTTGTTCTGTTGAATCAGTATTTTTGATAATTAAACCAGTCAAACACATGACAATGGGAAAAAAGTTGCAGACTAGTTTATTGATGAACAGAGATACAAAGATTCTCAGCAAAATAATTGAAAACCAAAATCAGGAACTCATTAAGAAAATTATATTTTATGACCAGGTGACCTTCATCCCAGGAAGGCAAAGCGGTTTTAACACACCTAATTCAATAAATGTAATAAACCATATAAATAAACTGAAGGGGGAAAGTTACATAATTATTTCAGTTAATACTGAAAACGCTCTTGTCAAAATTTAACATGTCTTCATGATAAAGTTACAAAGATGTCTAGAATAGGTGGTACATACCTCTAAATATTAAAGGTGATATGCAGCAAACTTTTAGCCAAGATTACATCAACCTGAAACAAACTGGTATCATTTCCTCTGATATCTGAATGAGATAAGGGTGCTCACTCATAGCTCCCTTATTTTAAAGAGTGCAAAAAGTCTTAGTTACAGCAATCAGATGAGGCAAAGATATTAAAGAGTTAAAAATGTGAAAGAAAAAAGGCAGCTCATCCACATTTGCAAAAGATGAGATTCTTTATATCAAAGATTCCATGGAGACTACTAGAAAACTCTTGGACCCAATTAACATATACAGTTAAGTTTTGAGACAATATTTTAAAAAGTGCAGTAGCATATATATATATATAGACAATATACTCTTAAAGAAATAATTGGGGAAATTATACTATTAAAATCTCCAAAATATCATGCATATGAAACATAACTAACCAAAGAGAATGAACTCTGCAGTAAAAACTTGAAGACATTGAAAAACATTGAAGAGCTTCTATGCTCCTGGACTGGCAGAAATACTAATATGAAAAGAACTAGACTACTAATACTAACCAAAAACTTGATAAAACAGCTATAAAAATTCTGATATCATATATCACAAGTTTAGGAAAAAAAGAAAAACAAATCAAGACTCCATATGGAACAACAACAAAAAATCACAAACAGCCAAAGCAGTCTTCAGGAGAAAGTTCACTAATAGATGGTACAGGAGAATTGTCTGTATTCTGTCAATCATGTTTTAAATAAATGCTGATTGGCCAGGCAGGAGGTGTAGGCGGGAAAACCAGACAGGAAGTGGAAATGATGCAAAGAGAGCAGGAGGATTCTGGGAAGGAGGAAGTTGATGTCTTCCACTCCTGCCCAGACCACCTAAGCAGCAGGATGTGACTTGCCAGCTGAAAAAGGTACAGAGTCAAGTGGTTATCATAAACCAGAAAAATGGGTTAATCAAGATGTGAGAGTTAGCTAATAAGTAGCCTGACCTAACAGGCCAATCAGCTTTATCACTTATAGAGATCTATATGTGATTTTCTCTGGGACTAAACAGCTTGGGGGGTGGGCAGGACAGTAACCCACAAACAAGTAGCCACCCCTCATGTTACAAATAGAAGCATTCTAATACTTGACCTCAAATTATACTACAGAGCTATAATGATCAAGACAGCTTTGCAATGGCAGTACTGACTCCCCCCCCCCCGTGTGTGTATGTGTGCAAACGTGTGTGTGCATGTATGTGTATGTTGGAAAATCAGTGGACTAGACAAGAGAATCAAGAACAAAAGTGACAAAACTATACCCACTTAAATTTTGACACAGGAGACAAAACTTCCATTGAAAAGAAATCTAGTTCAACAAATGGTACTGACAAAATGGGAAATCTACCTGCAGAAGAATAAATTGGATTTATCTCTCATCTTGTTTAAGGATCCATTCGAAATGGATGAAAATTCTTAATTTTAACCTAGAAACCTTGACACTTCTAGAACAAGACTTGAGGAGTATTAGTCAAGACACTGGGGAAGGCAAGAAATTTCTGAATGGAAATGGAAAACATGTAGCACAGGAACCCTCCCCAATTATCAATAGTACCTGAAATAAAACTTTTAACACAGAGAAGAAAACTATCTGCAGAGCACACAGCCCAGAGAATGGGAAAAAATCTCTACCAGCTATGCTTCAGACAGGGGAAGGCATCCAGAACTTATAAAGAACTGAGAAATTAAATATCAAAGATAAAATCACCAATGAATAAATGAGTTAATGAATTGGATATACATTTTTAAAAGAAAGTCACACATATCTAATAATTATTTTTAAATGTATTCAATATTTCTAGCCACTAGAAAAATGAAAATTAAAACTTCTTTGAGATGCCATCTCACTCCCGTCAAGTTCTTGACTGTCATCAAGAATTCTAACAGAAAGTATTAGGAAAACTGTGGAGAAAGAGGAACTTCTATTTACTTCTGGTGAGAGTGCAAATCAATATAGCCATCCTAGAAATCAATTTGGATATTCCTTAAAAAAATAAAGTAAAATTAGAACTGCAATATAACCAGCTATTTTCCCCCGGGCATGTGCCTAGAGACCTCCATGCCTACTACAGAGATATGTGTACCCCATGTTTATTGCTGTTTTATTTACTATAACAAGAAAACGATACCAACCTAGTTGTCCACCATGGATGGTTTGTTGGTTTTGACCAGCACAGTGGTTGAACCTGAATTGACTGCTGCTTCAGCTAGTATTGCAGCTCCTCAGTTACTGGCCCACTTCTCAAGTAGCAGCTAGACAGGACTTTTACATGCCACCAGATCTGCCTTCTGCTGCTGCCACCAAATATAGTTTTTAACTAAAGCTCTATGGTTTTCTTTACCAATAAAGACTCAGGAGTCAGAGGCTGGGGTGAAAACCTGCTAGCTCAGAGAGGCTGAGGAGCAACCAGCTGATCTTCCCTCTTTGCCAGTGTGTCAGAAAGAGAGTGTCCCTCAGCTCCACCAAACCAAGAAAGACCACCACACTCAAAGTCCCTCCCTACTGCTTCTTGTGTGTCTCTCTATTCATCTTCCAGACTCCCTCGGACTCTCTATGATTACTTTCCATCAATTAGTTGTTGGCTCTGTCCCCTGATTCGAGTTTGATTTTGTTTAATTAATGCAAAAACAAACTTAAGGTTCACAGTCTGATCAAATAATCTATAGAAATGGTTAATGACAGTCTGTTTCATGTATAAATTGGGATGCTGTTGCAGCTGAAAGTAAATAAAATTAAAAATTAGCAGGAAAATTGATGTACTTTATAATGCTAAGCAAGACCACAAAAAAAGAAAAAAAGCATGTTGTCTCTTTTATTTGGGTTCTGGCCTTATATGCATGTATGCATATATGTATATATATATTATGTATATCACATATACAGACATATAATGCACATGTTTACAAATATATGTAAGCAAATGTATAGTAGGTACTATATAACTTGTAGAAAGGAAAACAAGAAAGGCTAAATATTAGGTGAGGCATTAGGCTGAAACTCAGGTAATGGACATAAGCAATAAAACTTTACATAAAACTAGTTGGCAAGTTTTATCCTGTCACTGATTTTTCATATTTTGTGGTATATAAGTATAAAAATTTAATTTATAGTGAACAAGTGAAATCTTCCATGAGTCTCCACAACATGAGATTGACTATTGTACCTGTGGAGAACATCAAGATGCACAGACCTTGGGTCTGTTAAAAAAACATGTTCTTTTCGCTTACAGGTTCTTTACAATACAGGTTTACTTATTAAAAAATGGTAATGTGTAATATGAGTAAGAAAGACACCTGATGCCCACTTCTAGCCTCCACTTGTATGTGCACACATGTATATGCCTACCCACACGCAAACATGAACAAACACATGAACACACACACACACATACATATAAAAGCATAGATAAGATATGTAGATTAAATAATGCCATACGTGTAGGGGAATGTGTTACAGTTGTAGTATTGCAGAGATAGCCTGACTTTGTCGGGAAGCCAGGCTTTACTTACTGCCACAATAGGACAGCTCTGGAGGGGTAGAGCCGTAATAGGACAGCTCTGGAGGCTAGAGAGGAAACAGGCCACCTCAGCCCTGGAGGAAAAGTGTCCTGACTATAGTGAAGCCAGGATGCCTGAAGCTGGGATGCGGTGGGGGATGGTTTCCCTGCAGG